ATGAAATTGTTTGAAACTTCATAGGAACTTTCATAAATGCATGTAGTTTAAGAAACGTAAAGCATGCTACTTTTGATAAGTTAAGTTTTTTTGCATTATGATCTTTAATATCTTGGAAAATTACATTAGGAAATGGTATTTTTAAGAAATGATTACAATATTTATATTTGTTCCTGATTTAAACTTATTACTTTTGATGTTTTAATACATTATTTTAAAATCTCTAAAAGCTTTTTATCATCCAAAAAATACAAATTTTGTCTATTTTAGATTTTTTCAATAATCACGTACTCTCCTTATGGTGTTAAGTAATATACAAGACCCAAAAATAATATTTATAAGTAAACCTAAACAATAAATGAGTATTTTTTTTTTTTTACTAGAATTTCATGTTTATGTATGTACATAAAAAAAACATTTTAATTTTGTTTCATAAATGTATTTTTATTATAAGTTTATGTTTCATTGCAGCTGTACTTTTGTTTATTTTGCCAAAAAAATGTGAGGTGAGCAGCGTGAACTTCGTACTTTTGCCGTAAGCTATCATGCCTGTTGGTGGTCACTCTCGTTCAGTTCAGTGCAGGCACATTTGAACAATACTGTAGATATGATAGTAAGAAAGCTTTTCGGTACTTGAATATCATTTCTTTGAACTTTCAAACAAGTTTATTTCAACATATGTCCTTGTATGTTGTTTCACTATACAGAGAAAACTAATTGCCATTACTAGTGAATGTATGTAATAGTTTACAGTACAAGTGGTTTGAATAACACCGCCTGACCCTAGTTACATGATACTTCCTGTTACGAGAGATTACCAAACGATACAGACACCATAAATTACAAGGAAAATTACTTTACAGCACTTAAAAGATTAGTCCTGGTCACATTCCTCTCATTATAGGCAAGATTTGTGTTGGAATTAGAAACTTAAGCTTTTCAATGTATTGACACCCCAACTGTTAGAATGTCACAGCTTCCCCTGTATTATTGAGACAAATGTGTTTAGTTTGTTTCACAACCAACATATGGGTTTTATTGTCACTTGTACACTGAGTTTTAAACCATTTGCAAAATATCAGAATAAACTTTTTATATATTAGTTAGACTGTTTTAATTATAAAGCAACAACAACAGAAGTGTGGGTCTTACTACAAAGTAAAGATAGTAAGAAGGAAAAATAAAATTCTTACGTGGTACTAGTAGTAGTACATACAAATCACACAAGCTTATCATTTTAAATACTGAATCATATTTTTATTATGAACGAAATATAAATATAAATTAAATTATTGAACTTAAAACTACTAATTTAAATGCAAAAGAATATAAAATATTCTTCTACTATAGAAAAGTAATAAAAGTCACACACATCTCATGCAGTTTTTCCAGAAGCAAATTTTCTAAGGCTTACAAAAACGTACTATTGACCAATATTAAATACAACCTCTACATAAAATAGCATTCACTATAATATGTACCCTTCACGTTCATATTGTAAAATCCAGAGAACAATGTTTTGTCATGTGCTTTCCTTATCATCCTATGATTTGTCAAATGTGAAATACAGCAATTGTAATAACATGGTACTGAAATTGACACTTTCAACTAGAATTGGCTAAAAGTTCTACAACTGAGGTTTAACACGCCCAGATGCTGTTTTATAAAGAAAACAGACTAGAAAAAGGTTTAAATACCAATCATAGATGTCAGGACCAGCACTAAAGTACAAAGAAAAAATGTTGAAAAAACGTTTTTCTTAGAGGGTGCTTATTTATAGTCTCAAACGTATTTTGGGATTTTTTTATTAAATTTCTCTTTAAACTTCATCAAATAATACAGTTTAGCACAAATAACTGAATGATATGGTACTATTTACAAAAATAAAATCTGAAATCCAATAAAAGATAAGTTTTCTATAATTTTTTCTATTCACAAATGTGATTTTGCCCTCATGATAAGACAAGATCACCCCGGTGGGTAAGGGGTTTACTCTTTTACTCTGGGTATCCTTTGCTACTACACATAACAAAGTTTTAGTGTCTTACATTCAAAATTTTATTAAACTATTTTTTTTTTGTTATATCGATTAATATTGCATAAACACTTAGCTAATAATCCATATTTTAATAGTATATAAGTTTTAAGTTCTTAATTGTATAAGGAAATATAAAAAAAACCTGAACTTCCCTTAATTTTACACAGTAACACATTTTTACTAGGCATCTTCTCTTTATTTTATCCACCACTCCTTCAAAATACATGAAATTAAACTTAAATTGCTCCTAATAATATTGTCATTGCTCAGACGAACCACAATTTTGTTTGGTTACAGAACTATAAATAGAAAATCACACCCTTCCTGTTACAACCTCTATTTCAGGCTTTGTTAATAGTTCTCTTTTATGTTTAATTATATATTACCTACAACCAACAGAAGGTAAAGATTTTCATATATCAAATGATGTATTGTATAATGTTGTGTTCTGAACAGATAAGCATCATTTTCACTCAAGAGTACAAGCTTCATTCTCATGGGAAAGTTAATGAATAGCTTGGATAAATTTGTAATGGCTTTTGTATAGTTAGAAAGCCAGAAAAGTGTTGAGAGTTAGAGGAAGTTGTCTACTTTTTGCATGTTATTAGTCCATGTTCTTTGGTGCATTATTTTATTAAATAAAAATTATTTAATGCACTACTGCCATTAGTATATAATATGTAGGTTTAATTATCATCGACATCAAGAAAAAAAGATGATTGGATAAGTAACTTATTTCTTGTTTTTCATGTTTATTCTTTAATTATTATTATTATTATTATAAAAGTAACTAAGATGTTGAAATAGGGATCTTTTTAGGTTAGTTAAGATTAGGTAAAATAAATAGTAATAATAATAATATAATAAAAATGTTTCATGAGGCATGCATGAGAGCAGCACGTAGTTAATGTAATTGGATAGCATAAAGTGAGCTGCATGTGCCCCATGTGCCCTGAGTGATTTACAACTTATGGCATGGATAGTAGTTAGACACAGTTCTAAGGGCAATCAAAAAAGCAATAAAACAATAAAATTTAATTATCAACAGATGTATACTGTTATGAGCTTAAAGCTACTTACCATAAACGAATGTAGTTTCATGTTACAATTTGATATCATTCTGCATTGCATAGAAGACAGTAATAAGTTGTCATGCATGGTGCATATGGTGTACATATGGATGAATAAACCTTACATTAACTAATCAGATATGGTTCTCCAGGAGTTGAATTCTATGGACAGCATGAAGAAGAATGCTCTGTTACCAAGCTGTTCTTCATCCCTAATCAGGCAAGAAAAGTATACTTTATTTTAATAGAGAAATATTATTGTATCATTATATTTTAAATGTGTAAATCTTTAAATAAATTGCATATGATTATTCACTTGCTGTGGTAGAAATGTACATCATGTAAGAGTAAGGAAGTATATTTTAGTAACATACATGTTTATAACCAAAGTGTTTCGATTAAATGGCCATCTATAAAAATAACTTTTTTTCAAGATTGTACCAATATACATTTTAATTCTTTAGTGAGATATGTAATAATTTACACTATCATGAAAAAAATTTAAGCTGATTTTTAGGATTATCTTATTAGTTTATATGGTGATAACACCTTGTATCGGAATTAAGAAGTGAAGTTTAAAACATATTTTACATTTATTTTCATCTGTGTTATTTTTTATTTCTAATCTTAAAATATTTACTAACATAAAAAATTTGTGGTAAATTTTAGGGTCGTCTTATTAGTTTATGTGATACTAATTCTCTTCACTTGTGGGAAATCAACACTAATAATGGAGAGTCCTATTTGACAGAAGTGAAGTCTTGCTCATTAGAAGGAAGGTAAGGAAATATTGTTTTGTTGAATGAAATGTAATAAAAAGGATCAATGTTATTACTTTTTAGAAGCATTTTCTACTTGCTTCAGCTTAACTGGGTGGTATTTCTAATGCTTAGATGATAATGCTATTTCATTTTTGTAGGATGGTAATGCTGCTTCATATAATTTCAATAATATTTCTGTTTGTTTCTGAGTGATACTACATTGCTGTCCAAAAAATTATTAATGGAACACAATGGATTTTTCAAAGATCCCTTAAACCCTTTCCAGGCTGGAGTATGGTATTATGCCAGTTTCGTAATTTCTCTAATAATCATTAATAATTGAAATGTTACCAGATCTGAAACACAGATATTTCCAATAAGACACAATATCTATGACATCTTTTGCAATATAAGTTTGATTTTTTTTTGTTAACTTACGATTTGTAACACAATCAAAACCACTATGTAACTTAGCTATTTATCATTCTGTTATGGTTGAAGTTATAGCCAGTTTTAATACATATACCATGTAGGCCTAATGTTGTTGTATGGTAAGTAAAATATTAAAACTAATATAAATAGGTAGTATTTATCTCATCTACGTTATACATAAAATATAGCTGTGGTTTTATTTTACTAATTTAGGTAACATGTTAAAATGACAAAAATAGACACATCTTTTATCTTCTGACAGAGAATTAAATATGATCCTATCATTGATCGATGGCCTTGAGCTACAAATCTTGAGTTTACAGAAAAATGATTTCTAAGACAAGTAATTCAGTAAAATAAATAGACATGCAGAGAAACTTAAGTTAATTTATTATCTTTCTGTGGCTTACAAAGAGTACCATACCTAAATGACAACAAGAAGTCCCACTGAGCCTTGAGACTCACTCGGACGACTTGAGGTGTCTTTTGAAATTTTATATTCCTGTGTATCTACAAAAGGAAAGAAACTGTAATGGTATATAAATTGCAAAAAAGAAAGAAAATAATTCCAAGTTTCAAATGATGTGTTTAAAATTTTTGTAGCTGCAGAAACAAGAAATTTATAAGAAAAAAAGGTGCAAAGAATTGAATTTTACAGTTCTTGATATAACTAGCCTCTAAAATTCACTGTTTTTAAACTATCTAAGCTAAAAAGAAGCCTTCAATGAGTTTAAAGGCTTTAGATCTGTATCTGTGAAGACAGGACATTTAATGATTTCCACTGTCTGAATAATATCCAACAAGAGGTCATAAATTGACATTAGGGCTAGCAGTTTCAATTTTTTTTTTACTCAAGTCATTCAAAATAAATGTTAATAAAATTGAAACGAAATTAAAAATTTTAAATCTCAACATTCATTAATGTTATTATTTTAGAGGAGGGGATACATCACAAACAATTTTTCAAAATTTGATGTCAGCATTCTTCAGGAAATGTTCAAAATGCCCAAGCTGGAAAGGGTTAAAGGAATGTCATATAAATTGGGTTGAGGTGAGCTGTTATATGATGTATGATGCATATAGAAATTAAAAGTGTTTGCTATGTGTTTGGTTAGGTTAGGTTTAACTATGAAATAAGGAATTACAAAAAAAAAACAATTAGCATCAAATTTAATTAGCAAAATGTTCCCAATAAGGGATTTGAACATCCCTTACAGCAATACACACTTCGCAGTGTTTCTTCATGCTACAAATGAGGTTATCCAATGAGTTGTAAGGAAACAAATTTCACTCTTGTGTGAGGACATGTGAGCTCCTGAAGAGTTGTTGGAGGTGGTTGATAATTAGAAACCCATCTCTATAGAGCAACTAAGTCATACTCTATGGGGTTCAATGTATGATCTCGTTGCCCAGTCCATAAAGGCAGTATCTTCTCTCTTAAGTTATTGATCTACTAGCTATGCTATATGTGGGCACATATTATTGTCCAATAAATATTAATCAGGGCCAACAGCACTTCTGAAAAAACAAATATACTTTTGGAGGATCTCTGTATTGCAGACCAGTCAAGAACCTGTCTTCAAAGATGTGGAGGCCCATGCTACAATTGATCATAGTGATTGTCCAGACTAGGACACCACCACTTCTGTAATGGTTCTGTTCCATGGTGCTTGAGGGATGATATTGAGTTTCATGCTTCCTTCAGGTCAACCTTCATTAAGGATCTATTGCCAGGCAGAATGTTGACTTATCCATTAAGAGAACATTAAACCAACTTTCTTAATCCTATTCCAAATGTTGGCAACACAGGATAAATGGGCCTGTCACTGGGAGTATGTTAACAGGACATACACTTTGGACATCTGGTATACAGGTGTCCTCTAGTGAAGTTTTTTGGATATGGTCTGTCTCAATACAGATCATCCTGTAGTGCAGATAGTTCTCATGTGATTTGGCAAGCTGTAATGGTCCTGTAGCACCAAGCATTTAGAGCCAGATAATGATCGTCTATAGATATTATTGCTCTAGGAATGCCTAATTCATATCTTCTTACAAATGTTGTTTCCTTGTATTGTCTCCAGAGCCTGGATATCATGCTTCTGGAAACATATAGCCTTCTTACAACCTCAGCCTGCCTTTGCCCATCTTCCATCTATTCTGTTGCTCTTCACCTTGGACCTCATTCCAGTGAGGCCTTCTTGACACTTCTTACAAGAACCTTCACAGGTTAATTTGACAGTGAACAAAAACACAATAAGGAGAGAGTTAATTTTTTTATTACAATCCAGCAGAAAGTGAAATGTATATTGTTTTTCAAATAGTTAGTGTTAAAAAAACAGCACATTCTGTAACTTTGGATACCAGTGTACTTTTGTCAAGGAAATTGTATTTCAGTCTTAACTTGGTGGTGATCGTTCTTTAATTGAACAGAGTGAGATTCTACTCTATTTTACCAATGTCGTAGTTCTAATATTTTTCTGTTTGTGGTAAACCTCTGTTATAAAACTAGGTAATGATTGTACTTTAACTAAACAATATCATGCTCATGCTCTTTCTTTCTTTTTTTTTTTTTAAGTGAAAATTCTACTTTATATAATTTACAAAGTCAATCCACTTTAACTGGGTGATGATTCTAATTTGGTTTTGTTGAAAAGTTTTGTTTCTTCCTATTTTGGTTGTATTTCAATTTAGCAAAATATTAATTCTTTTGTTGTTAGCTGGTTGGTAGTCAAGTGGTAATCCTAATTTAGATTTGTGAACTCGGATTTTGCTTGCTGTGAATAGAATACGGCAGAATGACTATTTTCTACGTGTCTTAACCCATTCGATACGGGTCACAGGTGAAAGGCCATGTCATCTTGTATGTTGACTCACGTTCAAAATTTTATTGAACTACTATTTTATAAATTTATGTCAATAAGTTTGATATCAAACTGTAGATTATAATTCTAATTTTAGAACTATACATTACTCAATTTATTAATTTAAAAGTAAATATTAAAAAACAGATAAACATTGATTTATGTGTGTCATGTTGTATGTTGAATGCAACACTGGCTCAAATTAGACGTTTGTGAAGTCAAAATACTAAGTCTATAGTTTCATACAAATTAGAAACTCAAATTACAGATATTCACAAGCTAGAATATAAAGTAAGAGCCTCTTATCTTTTCTATTTGTTAAGATATTTCCCACATAATAAATCAAACATAGTGGCCCCCCGCTCACCTCCTTCCATTTTTGGAAACGCTCCCTTATAAACACTTACTTCTATATATGACATGAATAACCAATTAGAAGCTCAGAATGTCCCCCTAGTGGTTTTCTAAGTCTTTCTAATGTACCTAGCATCATTTTTTTCTTTTAAATCAAGATTTCAATGAGGTAGGTTGTGTCTTTAGTCTGCTCGAAATTTCATATTTTTTTAGACCAAAATACAGCTTAGTTACTACATTTGATAAGTTATAGTAGAATTCTAGAGTATTGATGTAGTAATTTATGATTTTTTAGTTATTCAAAAGTACATATAAAATTGAAAAAAAATATTTTGTTTCATGTCCTCCATGTGCAAATATTTTAAAGGCTTAGCAACCTACATTAAGCAGCAACCGAGTACAATGGTCGTAACTAGAAGAGATAATTGTTTGCTTTACTTCTTTATTTACTCTTCTATGTTTTAGGAAAAATAACTTCAAGAACTTACTTCAAAATAGCAATAATCTATATACATATATAATGCATAATAATTGAAATGTGACTGTATTTTACAAAATGCTAGTCAACTAAACACAGCTAAGGCAAGTTACTTTGTACAGATCAAAGGTCACCTTTATGTTATTTGATACGGTAACATGAGTGCACGCATGTTTGTTTTCAACAGGTGGTGATCCATTTTCAGTTTTGTGAAGTGCTTATCCAACTTCAGTTTAGCTAGGTGGTTATCCTTCTCCTTTTATATAGCCAGTTGGTTATCTTACCTCACTGTAGCTAATTTGTGTTTATATGGTGACCAAACTTGTTTCTTTGAGGCATTATATTACACAAATGGTATCCATAACTTGGTTTGGAGTGAAGTTCATGATTCCATCTTAATCTACTGAAATGATGATTCTATCTCAGTTTAGTTTGACGGTGATATTGCTTTACTCTAGCTGCTTGATGGCACAGGGCTTGACATTAATGCAAGCCTGCTAGCACAAAATAAATAAGAAATGCATTCAGGCTAGTTGTTGACATGATTCACTAATCTACTAGGGCTAGTGACTTAATACTGAGTATCTCTTTTAACTTTTTTTATGTATTCACACATTTTATTTGTTGTTTTTTCATAACAAAAGGGAAAGATTAATTTCTCAAACTCATCATGGTGAAATTATTTCCAAAATTGGAAAAGGAAACAATTTAACAGCCAGTTAGAAGATTTTCTTTCTCTGCTGAATGACATCAGTACATTGCTCAGTTTGTTTTTTCAAAGACTACAGTTGTGGTATCCTACCAAAGTATCTTTGGATATATGTACGTTATATCTACAGTACTTACTCTATTTAATGTATTTGTGTTTTCTTTTAACTTAGAGAGGATTGTGATTCATTCTGTCTGTAGCCTTATTTTTTGCAATATATGTTCTTACTACTTCTTCAGCTTTCTCTATTAAAATTAATGTATATGGGACAAAGATCTTTATTTGCAAGAATATGGTTTCAACACTGGCCAAGTCTTTGTAACAGCAAAAAATGCATTAGCTTGTGTGTATCTGACTAATAACCATGATTTTGTTTCATTTAATATTGATTATGGGTTCATTTTATTGGGAACAATGAGCTTGTATTTTTTTTTCTTTTTTCAACGAATGTCATCAAATAGCTTGCATGTTATTTTAATATGCTTCCATGGAATAAAATTATTCCTTTAAGTGTTAGAAAGGATATAAGATGAGTTCTTTGTATACATTACAATCTTGCTTTGTCTTTATAGGTTGAAGAAGATTTCTAGCTGCTGCTTGCAGCCTAGTGGAGAACATCTGTTAATTGGTACAGAGGGAGGAAATATTTATCTTCTTGATGTCAAGGCATTTGAAATGACAGATCATATCATCTATCAAGATGTTATTATGCAAAAGTGAGTGAAGTCATCAAATGGTAATTGATTCTTACAACAGTAAATAAAAAATCAACTGTGAATATTTTACACTTCATCCTTCAAATTATCAAATGCTCTTTATGTGTTTAGATAACCATGTAAGATAAATACTCATCTAAAATGTCTTTTTGGATGATGATACAAGTCTCTTTTCACACTTAATTGATATTAATACTGATATATATATATATATATATAAATAAGTGAAGAAAAAGAGTGAAGTTTGGAACATGTTTGTATGATATTTCATTACTTAATTTTACTAAGTACTAAATAGTATGAATTAAAAATATTGACTGGTTCACTATATCATTAGTAAATTGCCTATGCTTTTATTATCAATAATCTGTTATAAAATATTTTAAATCTGATATGGAATAAAATAAATAGGTACTGTATTCAAACTTGTTTTGGACAGAATACTTGCTAAAAGCTTTAAATTTAATGACATTAGTGAACAATCTTGGTTAGTTAACACTTGAATTTACAAAAGCTTAGAACATACAGCAATAAATATTACTGGTCCATCAGAAAAGCTTAAGGCTTCACAATGATGTGTAGACTTTGTATTTAGAACACTATGGAAAAAAAAAGTTTGGACCTTCCATTGTATTCATTTGCATAATTGACTGATGTCACCATAACTATTATTTTATATTGGATTGAAAATCATTTTATTTTATAGGTTATTTACATAAATGAAGTAAAACGTTCATGTTTGGCTTAGAAATATGTTGCATGAAAAACTAATCATATTTTTTATAATTTAAAAAGCACATTGTGTATGCACAGAATTCATGTTACTATTAGCTACATACAGTAAGTTAGCATTGCAGCTATTTAAAATAATTGTGCCTGGGTGCTGACTTTCATATTATAACTTTTAATACAGTATGCATATCTTCATGAAATTTTGCAGATTATTTATTAGTAAACATTACAAGGCTATCATACACAAAATATTTGTTGTTGTTTTTTATAAAGGGCTTTTGTTTGATTTACTAAATATAGTGATATCTCAGCAAATAGAAAAGATAGGAGGCTCTAATTTTATATTCCAGCTTGTCAGTATCAGTAACTTGAGTTATTAATTAGTAAGAAATTATAGACTTTGTATTTGAACAACAAACATGTAAATTTACTAAATTAGTAAAAAAAATAAAAAATTACTATATTTACTAAATATAGTGATATCTCAGCAAATAGAAAAGATAGGAGGCTCTAATTTTATATTCCAGCTTGTCAGTATCAGTAACTTGAGTTATTAATTAGTAAGAAATTATAGACTTTGTATTTGAACAACAAACATGTAAATTGAACCAAAGCTGCATTCAAAATACCACATGGCATACAAAAATCAATATATAGGATTTTTTTAAATACTTACTTTTAAATTAAGAATTTAACTAATGTATAATACTAAAATTTGAGTTATAATCCACACTTTGATACCAAACTTATTGCCATACATTCATAAAATTGTAGTTCAGTAAGCAATCTGAGAGTAGCGGGTTTGAATCCCCATTCCATCAAACATTTCAGCCATGGGGGTGTTCTAATGTGACGGTCAATGTCACTATTCATTGGTTAAAGAGTAGCCCAAGAGTTGGTGGTGAGTGGTGATGACTAGCTGCATTCCCTCTAGTCTTTCACTGCTAAATTAGGGATGGCTAGTACAGGTAGCCCTTGTGTAGATTTGCACAAAATTCAAAACAAACCAAACCAAGTTCAATAAAATTTTTAATATAAATCTACAAACGTGATGACATGCTCTTTGACCCCTGACTATTGGAAGACCTGTAGCGAGAGGGTTAACCATTATAGTCTTTTAACATAATACTGTTGATTAACCAAATGTATATGGGGTTGGTTCATTGGTTTGACACCATATTGGAGAAGAAATATTAACTGCAAATCCAAATTTACTAAATGTACCTGTACAAATTGTGGCATACTTTTAACTTTCTCAACACAGACTCGGCCAATTTGACTGACCATGTGACCTCTTTGTACTCATTTAATGTCTATAAATTTGATACTTCTAACTTTTAATATAGTGTGTATATATATCTTCACAAAATTTGGTTGTCTTTCACTAAACATTATAAGTCTTTCACATACAAAAAAATCATAGTTTATTAAAAATACTTCATTAAAAAAAAATTGTCCATGAATATATCAAGTATTTGTTTTGAATAGTTCTTAACATGCAAAGTAATTTTCATATTAAGATTAAAAATACTTTTCTTCATCTCAAAAATCTCATATTTCCTTTATGTAATCTCTAAAACCTCCTAAATATATTTAAATTTTTTTTTTCAGTAAAGCTTTATATTTTATCTGTTATTTTCTCTATACATGGTTGGTCAATTTGATCGACCTCATAACCACAGAAAAAATAGAAATAAATCTAAATTACCCTTTTTTTTCTTTCTAGAATAACTTCAGGTTGTAACATGAAGCTATATTCGTTTATCCTAAGTAGATTTAAACTTGTAATAGTATATGTCTATTTATAGTTAAATTTTATTGTTTTATTGCCCTTTGAACCATGTCGATTGACTATACATAGTCATTAATAGTTGTCAATCACTCTGGGAGTGTGAAGCTCGTGTTACACTACTATGCAGTTGAAATATCTCAGACTTGGTTGCTTATGTTTCTATTCATTTTTGTCTCAATACCTCTACGATAGTCTAGATGAGCTTCTACAAGTACAAGGTCAAAGTCTAAACTTTAGTTTCATTTTACAGTGTTTAACATTCCAAGAAGGAGATTGTCTTTTTCCATTTTGGTACACGCCATGTCCAGATTCCAAAGTAGTCTGTTGCTAAGCTGTAGTGTTTTCTAGATTTGAATGGTATGCTTATAGCCAATAGTAAGAGCAGATTTTTCATTTATTTTCTTCAGGCTAGAAGGAAACATAGACAATAAATTATTTTTCAAACTACATATGAAGTGCCATTAAGTCCATTGTTGAGATCAGTGTCTTTAATGCTTGGCTGTTTTTCTTGCCTTGAACATATTAGTTTGATAGACAGTTAAATTGTATTTAGGTTTTACTTTTGTACTTAGTTAATCACATTTGATTTTTCAATATTATTCTAAGCTTTACCTCATTGAACAAGTTTTTCTTAACTAGATGTAAACTGTATCTTGCTGCAGGCTAAACCATCTCTGCCAATGTTCACATTGAAGTGCCCATGGGCACCTGTTGATGTGTGTTGACATAAATAACACAGGCCTGCGATGGTTTTATTGTCTTGAAATTTTTACATGTTCTACAGGAATTCCTGTATGCCAAATCTGAAAATGATATCCATTTTTCTCCAGCACGTACAGATTTTTCACAAACATCACATGTACTTTTACAAAAGTGAATCATTTTCATTGAAATCAGGTCACATTTTGTTATGCTTAAAATATTGACAACCACTGGCTATAGGTTTCTCTAGACCATTTGCAACATGAGAGTCTTAACGATCATTTTAGAACCTACGAGAAGCACACTGCTAGTATATAGACAGGTAGGCCACATGATTTGTCATTTATGGATAGTATTTGTTTGTGTGTATGCAATTTCACATAATTTTTTCTTTTCAAAATTATTTATTCATTGCTATGGCAACAAGAGGTTGTGTAAATGACCCAAACATATTCTGTTAAATTTGTTGTAAAGAAACAAAGGCAAAACATTACAGAATTCGTCAAAAAAGCCTATTATGCATATTTAGGAATAAAACTTTGGGACCAAGACAACTCATGGGCTCCGCACAAAGTTTGCACCATTTGTATTGAAGAGTTGACAATTGTACTAAAGGTAAGAAAAAGTCTT